TCCTGTCATGCCATTCCCGAAAGCCCCCTAGACCAGCCTCAACCCCTCCCATGGTTGCCCCCTCTTATCCTGTTTTGTATATGTATCTGTTTTTGCATGCTCCTCTCTCTTGCTCGCTCTTTGGTTGTATGGGGCTATGTTTGTGTGTGTGCCGAGTGTTTATATACATGTGCATGCACAGCTGTACCGTTTCGGGGCATTTTACAGCCACAGAGCCGCCGCCACAGACCACCCAGGCAACCACCCAAGCACCAACCACAGCCACCCCCAAAAACAGGACCACCCACAACAACAATGCAAAACGTCTGCATTTCAACTAACGCCACCCGATACACAAACAAACGGAAAGGGGCAAGGGCTCCTCTCTTTTCCTACCCCCGGCGCCCCCCACACCTCACCCACTTGGAAAAAACCAACAGCCACCCACAAAACCACCCACCTTCTCCCTCGCACCACCCAATGCAGCAGCCTTCTCATATTGCCATAGTTGTTGTCTTCTTCTTATTGTTGTTCTTGTTGCTGGAGAACTGCCGAAAAAGTTTTATACATAAAGCGGAAGCTTACGAAAAATCCCCAACTTCCACCCAAAAAAAAGAACACCCCTCGAAATACCAGAATAACGGAACTCATTACAAAATCAATAAGTAAATTTTTCTTTTTCATTTACTATCTACGTGCCTTTTTTTGTGGCGGACTTTTCATGTTTAATCAATAATTTAACTTTTAAGCAAAGTTAGTGATTGTTTTTTATAACTTTTAGTTTTTAATATAACCATAATTATATAGGGAAATGAAAAACTAACTCCTTTAACTAATAACTAAGTTAATTTCCACTTCCGGCTTTAAATTGAAGTCTCGAGGTCTTCTTGGCCGCGCACAATCGATTTTTTCAGAAGCACGCAAAGCCAAGTTAAAACCACCCACCCATCTTCAGCCCAAAAGCACCAAAGGGGATCCATAAAAAATATATGTATATATAAGTAAAAACAAGCAAAGAGACAGGAAAACTCCCAGAAAATAAAAGGGAGGTACGCGAAAAAATGGAGTGGGTAAGTTGGGTTAAGGTGGAAAGTTTGAAAAAATCCAAACAATAAACGAATTCCTTTGGCTGAACAAGCTCTTGCCATCTGACCTTTTTTATTCCACCAGGGATTTCAATAAAATTCTAAGACTTACTGTAAAAAGAATCTGTTTAAGATCTTTCAATAATGGTTTGTGTTCTCGGAAAAGGTATTTCAGTTTATTTAAGTTAAATTTAATATATGTAAATATAAGATTTTTTCTTCCCATTCCTTAAGTAGTTTTGAATGTTTCACTTTTAACTTTAAAGTCAGAAAAGTGGTCTCAAATTTGAATCTGTAAACTGAGTTCTGAGCTCTGTCTTGCTTCAGGGTTAAAATTTGAATTAAAAATTTAATTACTAAACAAAACCTTGTAAGTAAACATGAAAAGACAAAGAATATGCTATTTCTTTCTATCGATAAATGAGGAAATCTTTGCTAGCTCTACTACGGTGTTATCGTAATCGCCATCACAATCGCTCTTGAATCGTTTGCAGACTTTGATTCATTGTTCTCTCTGGTTGTTGCTTTTGCTGGGCTTTTGTTTTACTTGTCAACAGAGGGTTTAGTTTGGTGCATCGGCTTAGGTCTAGGTACTACAGAAACCCCCTTTACCATCCCCACCCTCCTACCCTGGCCATCCAAAAACAACAATGCTGCGGACGCTGCATGCAACTATTGAAGCATGAACATGCAATTTATGTACCTCTATATGTGCATATATACCTACGAACTATGAAATACAGCAGCAGCAACTACAACAACAACATCTGCAAAATAAGCGACTGTACTTTTGATATAAAATCCACTCCACTCCACACTCCCATACATGGAAAACCAAACACAAACACATACTGTTTCAGATATATGTACGTATGTATGTATGTATGTATGTATATATAGCACCAAAAACCCCACCTCCCACTTTTAGAGACACCCACTTGGAGTGGAAAGCTCTGTTTAGTTTTAGTTGCGCTTTAAACTGCATTTCGGCTTGCGATGCTTTGTTGTTGTAAGCTGTACATAGAGGAGATTGCATGGGTGTAGCCAAAAAGGGGGGTTGGTTACTTGTGCAGCAAACGAAATAGAAAACAACTGCAATATGTTTGATTCCCCCCACAAATGCAGAATGGAATCACCAGAAAACAGCCCCAGATGCATTGCAGGCGTTAGATTCAACCGAAAAAACAGACATTTACACCCAAAAACATGCCGTCTCCTAACCAATTCCAGTTGTCATCTATAAATCGTTAGCTCTAATAGCAGCATAGGATAGGGAAAACTTTGGAAGAGCTGTTGAATAACTGGTATTGAAAGAAAATCTCTTTATTTAGTTAGTAAAGCTGCATGTTATTAACTAACCTACCCTAAACATAAGTTCATATACAAACATATGTTTCATACTGTAATAATAAAAAAAAGTTATATTTTGAATAGTCTCGATGCCCATATTTGTATTAAAGTATATGAAGTTGCCTTTAACACTACCAATATCTATGAAAACCTGTCTGATTTGTTTATGACTTCCAAGCCAGAGGAGTTTTTCCTGAACTCTTGACCCCCCGTAACCCAAATTAGGATAATCTTTTGCCATCGATATCAAGAACAAATGAGGCAGGTGGTGGTGAAAAATTAAGAAAGGGGAAAGGGAAAGGAGGAAGTGGCAGAGAGGCGGCACTGCAAAGCTGTCGACTTTTGTTGCTCCACTTGCACAAACAAAAACGCACGAAAAGACGAAAAGAGAATTTCGGCTATCGAGCTGCTCCCCCAAACTCACAAACACACACACTGTCAAACTCACCTGCAAACTCAGGTAAATCGAAGTGTGTGTGTGTGTGTGCGGGTGAGTGATACCTGTGTGGAGCTGACACGGCAACAGAAAAAGGTAACGCTAAATCCATAGCGATAAATCTAGAACCGGGCATTCTAGTTCCAACCCAACAGATAATTTTATTTCATTTGATTTGAAATGGCATTTGTTTATGGCAGCCTTGAACGTGAGGACTTGGAGGAATGAAAATTATTTTAATATATTTAAAGCGATTCAAATTAATACTAGATTAAGTTAATGAACTGTAAAATAGAGACAAAGAATTTAATAATAATCAGTTTATATTTCCTAAAAAAAATCTGACCATTATGATTAGGTAGATACAATATATGTCTAGTTCCAAAGTCTCTTTAAGAATTATAAACCAGATAATGTTGCTTACCTAAAACTTACCAAAAAATGTATCTTTTCGCTGGTATCGACATGAAAGTATCTAAAGGTCGATTTTAATCTCCCAATAAACTATTAATAAGGTTAGATTGATCGTTTAGGTTTAAAATAATTCCATCCATATCCTAATGGTACACCTAAAACACCCCCTAAAACTTTTTGATTTTGACCTGATCCACTGTGAACTAGTTCAAATTATAGTTTCTCCCACAATGCACCCCAAAACAACAACAGTTGAAATTCCAACAACACTACAGCAACTACTATAACAACAACAGCTAGAAATGCGGGTCTGGGTCGTAAAATCGAGAGAAGAGGCGAGACGAAGAGTAGTGCAAAGAGGAAACTATGGAGGATGGGGAAACTCGACGAGACATCGAGAATGCAGTGCACATAAAGAATGCCAAAATAAGTTTAAAACTAACGACGAACCGGGTTTTATTGCGTGCGTATGTATATGTATTTATATGTGCACGTTTGTGTGGGAACGAGACAGCCAGCAAGGTGGTTTTTGTATGTTTGTATATTGGAGCATGCAACTTTGCCGAAAAATGCGTATTACGGGGTTTGAAAGAAAGAGTGGGGGGAAGGTACCCAAAAAAAGAGAGAGAGAACCGATTGGGAGAGAGAGTTCACGAAACAAGTGCATTTCTGTATGGATGTAGTATGTATGTACGTGTGCGTGGGGGGTAATATTCGAGAAATTAACAAGTGTTGCAAAGCGCAAAAAAGTGCGTGCGGGTAATTAGCAAAAATAAAAAAAACGAAATCAAAAAGCAAACTGACAAAGTTCATTAACACAGTTAAAATTAAATCCCCGACAACAATTCATTCATAATCGAGAAATGTGTGTATAGATAACGGAACAAAACGAGCAGCAGCCGCGACAACCCCTTCCGAAAACAAAAATAAAAACCGTGGCAACCCAGTCGAGCGGCAAAACAAAAAAAAAAAAATAGAAAAAAGGTAGCAGCTGAAACAAGCGCCTAAGCATGGCGTCACAACAACAACAGCAGATAAAGGCTGTAAAAATTGTCAATATAGAAGAAAGAAAGGCAGCAACAAAAAAAAACAAGAAGAAGACGGAGAAGAAGCAGGCTTTTGAGCTTTGCGAAATAATGCGCGAGAGTTAAAGAAGAAGCCGCCAACGCCAACTGCGACGTCGGCAGAGCATTTTTAACGAGCCGAATGACAAGCGCACACAAACAGAAACACCAACACAAGTAGCCATTTATGCAGATGCCCACAGACGAGGGCGAAACAAAAGCAACAAGTTCATCGTTTAATGGTGTTAAAATAATTATTCTATATGTAACTTATCCGTTACTATTTTGCTTGATTTAAGAAGAGTAAGAAATTTATTGAAGTCTTATCTTCTTGTCTTTTATCGTACAATAGGAAAGGTTTACAGCCCTACATGAGTTTTATTGACTATGACTTTTTTAATTGCCACTATTGCATTGACCTCGATTGTCCACAAATACACAGATGGGCGACATGCATACGAGACGCCGCAGCAGCAGACCGGTTGAGGTTAAATTGGATAGTGGCAGAGCGAGAGAGAGAGCAAACGGTAAAGAGAGGGGGAGAAGAAGCGGGAGAGAGCGATTGGAGATGGAGCATACATATATTGAATTTTTCTTCTTTAGCGTAATGAAAATTTTAGCACTGTTTTGGGGCAAGAAAACGAAAAAGAAAGAAAAAAAAAGAAAACTTACCCGCGTGTGAAAATCCGTTATTCGATGGCGCCTCTGCCGCTGCGCTGCTGCTGCGGAACTCCTTTCGATTTTTCCAATTTCGCATGCACAAAACTATATGGATTTCACTTAACTAAATACACTGCTTATGTACACTTAATATATGCACTTATTCGTTGGTATGTATGTATATAATACGCCTAACCAACACACTAGCAGCACGCGCTCTGCTGACGTCGACGCCGATGCTATTGCGGCTTTTTTTTCGAAATTTTTTAGCCGCACTTTCCAATATATTTTGTTTTATATATTTATTTAAATTTTTGTTTTTGCTTCGCTGTAAACTATATTTGCAATTTGTTTACTATTTCGAAGAGAGAGTGAGACTCACACAAACACACATAGAGACAGACCGCTTTATACACTTGTGTGCTGCTTTAATATTAATCCACTTCAATTTGTTTGTAAATAGATAACGATACGATATTGTATTATATCCGCCGAATTTACTGATAACTAACTATTTGCTGCAACTCGATTCAATTTTAATTGTGCTTTTCGCCGCTCCACTCACGCACACTCACTCACACAGACGAGACCGCGTAGCACACGACCGAACGATCCGAGAGATGAAAAAGTAAAAAAGTGTTTGTTTTGTTTTCCTCCGTAGAGCTGGCACGCTATTCGATATCCGTTAATTAATATCGATAGACATCGTTGACCATTTGGCTATTTTACTGTAACATACGCGCGGTCACACTGCAGTTTGCAAATTCGAATTCTAGCTTTAGCAAGTACATAAACCAAACAGAGAGTACATTGATATTCCCTTTTAAATTAATATAAACCGTTTTTTGTATTTCAAATTACAAATCATAAATTAGACTTCTCTTGTTATGCTGACATTTAATAAGCTAATAAAATTTCATAAAAGAACGCCCAACTTATACATTGGCGTGTTTTTGTATATACAAATATCAAAAACTGGGTAACATATAACATATTTCGGCTTTCATGTTAAACCTTGTTGAATTGCACGAAGTTTTCGGCCTGATGTTTGATGTACGATTTACGACAATCCATATCATCGGCGGGGCGATTGTGTGGAGCCCAGACGGGTTCCCCAACGAAATAGCGACGAGTTCTGATAAAGTTCTAAAAACAAAAAACAAAAATACATTTAGAGAAACAGTTTGGATATGAAAAGCAACAATTTACGTTGGAATCCAAAGTAAAACGATGATAGATGCCAGCTGGTATTATAATAAGATCTCCTTTCACAACCAGAATGCGGAGCCAGTTGTCTTCGTTACTGCGAGATATTTTAAATTTAACAACCAATAAATACATAATACAGCAATGAAAGTAAACAAATAAAATCCGGCAAACTTACTCGCGAACATCGAAGTAACCAGATCCATCCAAAATCAGGCGAATTTCCTCATCGGTGTGCAGGTGTTCAGTGAAAAAAGCCTTCAACTTGTTGGCATAGTCAGGCAGGCACTTTTCCGAGCAAGTGATCTGTAATAAATCTTTGTTTTATACAGGATCTATAGTTGTTTTGAGTAAAAACATCGATCTTGCCTCATCATCATAGGTATAACCACGTTGCGCGCGCAGTTCCGTGAGAGTATTATCGCTCTGGTAGTTGTCCGCGTTGATCTGCAAAAGTGAATATTCAAGATAAGCTCGCCCCCAAGGTCACAAAAGGTTTAAAGTCGCAGTTTCACTTGCTTTAAAATATTCCACACCGGTCTTCTTATAAAGATCATCTAGTTCCAAGTAAGCTGGGGGATTGCGATGATGCTCCAGGCGCTGATCGGTTTCCTCCGTATCCATATACCAAACTTGTACCATTTTTCCGACTTTTTTAAGCGGTTTTAAACAAGCAAATGGCAAAAATCGACTAACAAGTGGAAAATTAAACTATAATCAGCTGTTTGTTGATTTCGAATTTTCGAACTAGATAACAGAATTCTCAGATGAATGCCACTAATGCTGTTAACTGTTAACATGTAAAATAAATGTCGTTACTATTCGAAAATAAATAAAATTTCCAAATTTAATTTTATAAATTGTTTTTATGGTGCAATATTTTTAAATAAAAGGCTTGCTTGAATTTAATGTTTTTCAATATAATCTTTTATTGTTCTGTTAATATTTATAAAAATGCTGAAAATTAAGGAAATTGGTTGTTTAGTATAAAACCTAAAATTGACTTTTACTAACCGACCGATACAATTATTATAAACTAATTTTGTGGCATAATTTGGTGAAGTCAACTGACAAGTTGGTACTAACATTAATTTAGTACATGAAAATGCTTAGTTCCTTGTTTTTACATTACATTTATTAGCGTTAAAATGAAGCACCCAATTACGCAGTCAGTTTGGCCAATTCCTCACGAAGCTCGGCAGTGTCAATGTTTCCCTTCGACTGGGATTGCGATTGGTTTTGGGACTGGGCCAAAAGGCGAGCGCAGCTCTTCTTGTGCATGAACCAATGGAGTCTCTGGCACTCCCGATCGCAATACTGCACCGCCTTGCACTTGGAACACTTTTTATCCGGCTTCTCAGCGCCGCAGGTGCTGCAGTAGCTTCCCTCGTCCTGCAAAAAAGTTCAAATGTTAAATTTAATTAAAATATATAACTTATTAAACCCACCACAAATCCCCTCATTCCGTTGATGGCATTCCGCAGGATCGTCAGGGCAGGTGGTGCATCCTTAGCGCCAAATTGTGTTGCAATCTGCCGGAAGATGGTGCACTCCCTTACTGGAAATTCCCTGGCACATTCTCGCAAAGTGTATTCCACATAGTCTAGCTGGCCCAGCTTGTTCTCCTTGAGCACTCGCTTCACGAACATCTCAATAAAGTCGTTCTTGTTGGCATCTGTTGCCTCCTCGCCGCCTTTCTCCTTATGCTGGGCCTTGAATTGCTCCTCGCAGCGTATCAATTCAGCCAAAATCCAACCCTGATAGTGGAATTTAAAGGCTAGCAGTTCGTTAAGGTCATGAGACTTCTGCATTTCCTTTTCGCACATCAAAGCCAGGGTCTTACGCAGGCTGGAGAGGATCCTAAGCAATCCCAGTGACTGGACATTTAAGGCAATCCTTACAGGGTGCAGATTGATTTCGGTGACAAAGGCATGGAAGGATTTTAGTAAACTCGGTGGTATTTGTGGCTCCGTTTGCTGGCCATGCACTTGGGTGTAGTACTCCAAACTTGAGCGAGTCACATAGTTGTTAATGGTCTCCACGCAGGCATGGTTGCCTACGAAAGCGGCCATTTGGGCAGCAGTCCTATTGACACTATTGATGCTACCGGGCTTGATTCCCGCATCCAAAAGTTGCCGACACACGTGTGTATTACCAGATAGAGCAGCGAAATGCAGAGGCGTATAGTCAGCTCCATGTTGATTAAGGTTTATATCGGCACCCTGTTGGAAAAAGAGAGTTATAAGCGGTTCTGTAATACCTATGTATGTGAGTTTTCTCATGATGTCTAGTACCCAATAAACTATTTCAGGGTAGGTTTTTTAGCACAAATTCGAAACACCTGTGGCTTGAAGGGTAAAAACCTCATATTGCTCATATTATACCCACCATATCCAGAAGCAATTGAACCGCCTCGCGATTTCCTTTAAAGCTAGCGTGCGCCAAACATGACATCCCGCTGTCGTCCACGAAATTCACGTTATTCACTGTGACCAGCAGCTGCTTGAATCTACTGGTGTCATTTTTGGCCAGGCTATCCAGTAACTGGCGCTGCAGGTCGTCCAGCTGCGGGTTCTTGCTCTCCTCGGTCATTGTGACTATGTTTTTATAGGATATTTTCAAGGGTTTTCCGGATAATGATAATCAAGAAGAAAACTCCACTGTTTTCGGCGTGCACGGGTTTACAGCGATAGTTGTAACGTTAGGCAACACAGTCTCGGATGCGATATATCGTATTATAAGTGGTACTCATTTAAAATTATATGTATATAAAACAAATATTCTGCTTGGTAATAGTATATAAGAAAGGTATCATATTAATATGTTTTTGTTTTAGATAAAAGATTTTGTTTAAGAATTAAAGAAATTGGTATTGGAATTGGTACAATTAAAATATTGAAATATTTTAAAATTGTAATTTCTGTTAGGAAAGCGACACTGTGGTCAAAAAGAAAACTAGCCAGAGAGCCAGAAAAGAGCTGCAACTGAGCGAACGCTCTCTTGTGTCCAAATCTGTTTTCTGTTCAACGGTCACTCTATTGTTTTGTTGTTGTGTTTTTTGTGTGTCGGCGGCGTGTGTATCGCATTCGCATCGAATCGAATCGAATTAAATCGAAATCAAATACAAATATAAGCATTTAAATCCGCGAGGTGCCAACAATGTTTTAGGCGCAGCCGCGCTTTTTATAAAAATTAATCAATTATAAAAAACGCATTAAGTGGAAAAGGTGATAAGCGTGCAGAAAATAAAGGCAGAAAGGAAAGAAATTCCAATGCAGACGAACCCTTTTGCATTGGGAAAATGTATAAATAATAAAAGTGAAGATAAGCGCGCAAAATAGCGAATCAGGCGCTAAAAAGGAGAGCCAAAGAGCGAGATAACGAAAAGCCAGATAAACAAAAGTCTTACAGACACATGGAAACAATTCTTCAATAAAAACAAGCCCGTTTTTTTGTTGCTCTCTTTTTTTTTTTTTTGCAATATGTGTTTACATGTGCTGCGTGAGCAGGAAAATGGCCTTTTCCTACTTCGAACGATGTGTGAAAATTGGCCTTGCCTATATTCCATACATCTTCTTTTTTTTGTTTACCAATTTCGATTTGTTTCGATTTCGCAGCATTTCCTGCGAAACACACACAAACACATATTGCAAAGGAAACAGAGGAAAAGAGAAAGAGATAGACCGCAGACACATGGCTATTTTCTTCTCCTTTACATCTTCCGCTCTCCTTTGCTCATCTCTTCACCCCCCGCAGTGCAATTTCAGAGGTCGAAAACAATACAGTAAATATCGGTTAAGGGCGAAAAAAGCAAAAAAGCATGGAAAATATGATATATTTCTTATTTATTGTTTCAATATTTCAAGGGTTTTTTTTTTAAACTTTAAAGTATAAAATGAAAACATTAAAAATGAACTGTGCGGAATGTTAATACTCCGTTTTAAGTTATTATCCTGTGAAACTGTCTTCCATCACCATAAAATATTAATAAAAATATATATTTTAAACTATTCAGTAAATACAGAAGAAATATGCAATAATTAATTTTAAACCGATTCCTTAAAGTCACTTGTAATCAAAAATATTGGAACATCAAAAAACCTTGTTTTTCCCTTTTTAAAAGTCAGCCTGCAATCCGAGAATTTCTTTGAGTCAAAACCATCTGTGCTATTAGTTCCTTTTCAAAAGGGGGCTGAAAACATAGTAAACGCAGGAGTTTGTTTTCACCGCTTTTCCCACCCTTGAGAGATTGCCGTTCTCTATTGTCCTCAAAAAAGAAATGAAACAAGTTCCTGAATGCAGCTTCCCCAACCATCAAACACCACCAACTATATCCAACTTTTGCAGCTGCGTTTTGGGGAACCAGAAAATTTATTAAACCATTTTTGTGACAACAGGTGCAACAGCTGCTTATATGTTCTCTTTTGTATTCCCATCCCTTGCAGTGATCCAAAAAAAAAAAAAAAAAAAACTAAAAGTGCTAATTAATAACCAGAAAAGTAAATAAATAAAGGAAAACAAATATCAAAAAATACACCACAACACAATAAGTATTAGTTAATCAAAGAAAATGGGAAAGCTGCTGAGCCTGCTGTCACGCGATGACTCGAATTGTTGCGCCGCCAAATCCTACGATGTCTTCCTGGATTTCGAGAATGCCGCGCCCACGGAAACGGAGCGAGAGGTCTACGACGAGGTGGAGCGAGTTCTCCGGGAATCGGAGGTGGTTCTCGAGGAGATACAGATCTATCGGGTGAGTCTCGCCGACTGGCCAAATGCGTCATTTACTCTGGGTTTAACCGCAAAGCCTACAACCGGTTACTAGGAATTCATTTAATAATTTCTATAGTTCGAAGCACTATTTGATTGAAATAATAGTTTATAAAGTTGTTCAGAGGGAGGGTATATATTATTTTAAAGATTTATTTGTAATTTTATTGCTGTGAAATATAAAAATTAGTATATATAGAAAAGGTTAAATCAGTTAAGAAATATTTTTAAAGGCAAACTTTTATTGATTGCCTTTTTTAACAGGAATTGTTTACAATTTGTGTTTGCCACTCTTCAAAGTTGTTTAAAGTAAAGAACAGAACTGATAATTTGAACAACTTGCTAAAAATAACAACAATCGCCGGGAAATAAACAGCAACAAAAAGAGCAATAATAAACGAGCAACAAATTGAGTATTTAACCTTTGGCAGGGTGAGAAAAGAGCCGCACTGAGCATTATCTTGCTGCCCAGTTTTTACTCTCTTTCAGTTGTGTTTCTTTAACCCTCTTTGGAGTAAAAATGTAAAATAAAATATATAAAATATATTTGCGGAACTGATATTTAATTTACGGGTAATAAAAACAAAGCAAATACCAAAAATAACATTTAAATTAGCATAACAAGAGTGGTTAATTATTATTAACCACTTAAATTGACATTCTAAGCACACCTTTTAGGATCCATTTATCGTACAAATATTTGTTCATAAATATGAATAAAATCAATCACTTAGAGCGAACATAATAAAAGTAATAATGGCTTTAAATAGTCGTATTACTCTCTGCAGCTGATAAGATTAACAACCCTGAAAAATAGCTATAAAGTCAACCGCATTTTCTAGTGGCTCCAATGTAAGCCTCTGCTCTCCTCATACGGAATACATAACTCTCCATGGGTCTCTTTAATGGTCTGACTCACGCACGTGCCCACATGATCCGATCCGGTGAGCGAGAAACGGACTTCTTTCATTATCATTGCTCCACTGACGTCATTAACCAACATTTGCCACCGCTCTTCACACTCTGTTGTGTCTCCAATTCTTCTCTTCGGGAAGAATTAGTCACCCCCCCGAATTCTTCGTTACTCACACAGAAAAAAAATTCTATGATGGATTTCTGATGATCATTCTCTTATCAAGTATAACTTGGTACTTAAAAAAAAAACAGATTACTCTCATTTGTCATATAGGAGTGGAGACTGGTTAATAATACTCACATCGAATAGATAAGAAATGTGTTATTAATATTATTTTTATCTTTGCTGCTGAAATTGTTAAGAGGTTTCGATCTTTGAAGGCTCTTATCAGAGTTCTTTTTTGACATTTTGTTCAGGAACTCATTAACATACATTTTTTTACTGTCAAAAAATAGATTTATTGAACACATAAAGATAAGATAATATTGCGGAATTTGTATCAATGGTATTTTTTCTTGTGCATTTGACCTTTTAGCGACAAATTCTATTTCACATTGGTGTGTGCAAAATTATTAATTGGGTTTCAGACGCTAAAAGACAACAAAAGCGGCGAGAAAAAGGGAAAGGGGCAAACTGAGGGGCGGGCGCAGACAAACAAATGTCAGGCCGAAAAGCTTTAATCAACGCAAATGAACTGGAAAATGTATACCAATGAGCTCATTTCCTTTCTGTTGACCCACTTAAATGGAGGGGAACCAAAAAGCAACAAAGACGACCTCGTCGAGCATTTAACCCTTATGGTTTTGGCTTTGGTGCAACCGATTCCCGTCGACCCTCTTGATATCTTTTTCTAGAACTAACCCAGAGGTATTTAAAATGCGCTTCATTTGCGGGCTGTGGGTTGCATTTTATTTTCATTGCAGTTTTTATTCGACTGCTCTGTGCGCGCGGTCTCTTTATTTTTCCGCTGCCCCGAAAATTGAGTGGGTGGCTTTTGGGTTGGAACCAACTGGTTGTCAAGGCAAGCAAACTGGTTGCGGAGTAGGTGATTCCCCCATCTTGCCACTTCTCAAACAAAAATACTTGGCCAGGCGCCAAAAGCTGGCAAAATGGCAAAAACTTCATGTTGTGTTTGGTTTTTTCCTTATTTTTTCTGTATTTCTTCTTACAAGTCGGTTGCTATAAATAGAATGAAAACTGCAATGAGTAAAAATCAAAGTTTTTCTCTTTCTCCGCTGGCATTTCTTGTTTCTTTAAATCAAGTTGGGAAATTAACAAAGCTTTAAAAAGCAATAAAAGTTAAATATAATAACTTTTGTTGACTTAAAAAGATCAAAGTAAATATTTTGATATTTTTGCTATTTTAATGATGTTATTTGTCAGGATTAAAGCTTTAAAATAAACTCGTCATTAAGTATCTTTAACAATTGTTCCCCTAGTACCATCATTGTACGAGTTTTCCTCTGTTATAATAGGCTTTTCTATCTGATTTATCAGTTGTTCACTTGTTCACTTGTTAGTGACGCTTTTGTCAAATATTGGCCCAGACTAGATACGGAATAAGAGGCGCCCATTGTGTGTGTGCGTAATAAACAACAAACAACACCAACAACAAGGTCAACAAAGGGCCACAAATAAAAATAATAGGGAAAAACCCCAATTTTAGTGCAACAACGATAATCATAATAATGATGCTTACGCATTCACCTGAAGAATGGTAAAAAAAAACAACAACAATAAACATCGTGTGGGTACTGTACAGATAAAAGTTTATTGGGTTTGTGGGACAACGTCACTGTAGTTTGATGAACTGCTTCGGAATATTATTAAATTATACAAATTGAGACATAAATATTGCGGTTTTCCATACCGCTGACAGATGAGGAGATAAGCTGACTATCGTCATAGAAAAACATATGTCGAACACATGGAGTAATCCAATACGCAACCTTGGATTCCTAAACCTCTATGGAAAACAAGTGCGAAGTACTCTATATCAGCTCGGTTTTTTGTGTGG